TTTTTTTTTTTGAGTACTTCTTTCTTTAATCATGCTTTTACAGTTCCATCCAATTGGATGTCATTTTCTTCCAGACAGATGATGTTATTAAGACTGAAAGTGGTGAAGTGGCTGCAGATGTGAACCATAGCGGTAGTGTTAATGATACTGAAGATGAGGCTATAGCAGAGCAGGAGGAAGAGTCTCAGTCTTTTGCGCGCACTGACTGGCTTCCTGCAGTACCAGTCATTCAGAATACATTCTTAGCTACACCTTCATATGTAGATGATAACTGCTTTATTTATCTTCATGATACTGAGAGAAGTAAGTTGATAGTTGTTAAACATTATAGATATGGAGTGAAAATGTACTGTAACATTCTGTGTTAAATTCTGGTTTACAGATGACTATTTGTGCATGCTATTCATGGATGATAGCATTAAACTTTGGCATCAACACGTCATTTGATAATGTGTAAGATTGGAAAGGAATCTAGAAGAAAGTAAGGGAAGTTAACAGCATGGAAACTTAAATAACAGTTGGTGAAACCTGCCATTGAACTCTCAACAGTCATTATGCTAGTCTTATTATAAGCTCATTTGTTGGATTCTAGACTGTCAACTGTTTCTGAGAAACATGGCAGTAAGTTAGTACAGACAGCCTTCCATTAGTACTACATTCAAACTTCATATTATGTACCTATGTAATTGAAAGTCTTGACCCTGGATGAGTTATTGAACTGCATCTTTTCTGTCCTCTCTAATAGTGTTATCCGCTAGAAAGGTTCTGACCCATTGCTCATAGTCTGTTTTGTTTTAGAATATGAGACTACTCATGTAGGGAATTATGGTCTCAGTCTCCCTCTTTCTCCTGCCCAACTCCAGTTCCTCTTATTTCACTCTTTCAGAATATATTTCACTAATTTATATTACTATTGTCACTTATTTGATGACTAGACAGGGGGTTTGGATTGGTAATTGGATTTACTGGATTCTTATAAATCATAACTAGAAATAATTATAACACTGTTGCTAATTTGCAACTTTACAATTCACTACGGCATGCACTAAGCTTTCTCAGTTCGTCTTCACTATAGATTGCATGGCAGTGGCTCCCAACAGTGCAGATTCCTCGGCTTCAGTGCTTAGATTGTTGCAGGCTGGCCACTGTCTCACACCTGGTCCTCAGCTGGCCACTCACTAGCTATTAATGCCTGATTAAAAGTTGAAATCATGTTACAAGCAGTGGTTAGTTGGCCACCCAAGGTCAGATTTTAGTTACTGTCAAACAGTTGCAGGTTGTTCTGGGGCAGCATGTCTGATGGGAATATGGGTCTTTCATTTACAGTTGCTGCTGTCCCTTGCCAACACAGTCATTCTCAGGTCGAAGTCCCATGGGACTCATGAACATATTTTACTATCTCAGTTTTGAGACTCCCCTAGCCTGGAGTGCCAGGTCCTCATGTTTACATCCCCCAGGAACAGGGTGGCCCAGTTATACCCACAGACACTGGGTTCCCTTTTTGTCACCTTCTATGGCTTGCAGGGCTGTGGTGGAGGTATTTGAACCCTCTTCCACACAGGCTTCTAATTCAGAGTCAGATTCAGTTACTTTACAACTGGTGATTTAGCACTAATCAGTGCATCTTCATTCCAAGCTCCTTGAGACTCACAGCCAGCAATTTTTCTTTTCAACTGAACACTTGCAGTCATAGTCCTTCCGTAACATCCTATCTGGAAAGAGGATGGATCTATCATTTACAGTTGTTGCTGGCCCATGCAAGCGCAGTCATTCTCAGGTCCAAGTCCCATGGGACTCATGACCACATTTTACTGTCTCATTTTCAGGGTCAGGCCCCCTTATTTATATCACCCCAGGAACAGGTTGGCCCAGTTATACCCTCAAGCACTGGGTTTTATTTTCATTGTGTGGTTTTGAAACTGTCGCCTCACTTTTTTTCAGCATTCTTCACAATCCATTCACATATTCCAGTTGCTTTTTCCAGAGGAATAATATGTCTGCTGTTTTTCTTTTCTTCATTGCAGAATGGAAGAACATTGTAAAAAGCCTTTTCTGTCCTAAGTGAACTACTGTTTGCAGTGTTTTTCTTTTCATGTTTGATAAATATTGTAACGTGTTCAGCTACTGAAGACGCCATTCAGATTGTTAATTGGTTTATTTAACAATCTACAAGTCATAACAACAATTACTTATGACACTCTTGCGGGTTTACACACTTAACAAAGCCTACTCACAAATCTCTTTAACACTCTCTTCAGTATAACACGCATTCCATTCTTCTTCTTGTGGCTGTCTCACACTCACTACAAATACTTGACGAATATTCCAAATACTAACTGACACTGTCTTTGGCAGTGGCTACATTTCAACTGACTCCTCAGTCAAAGTCAGAGTCACATTGCAACTGACAGTTGGTCAGTCTGTCCGTCTTGGTGTCGAACCCCTGACTTCTCAGGCATTCCAGTTTCTCTTATAAACCCTCAGTCGGACGGCGGAAAATGCACCTTGCTTCACTGTTGCGTAATAGCCGTGTTTACAGAGGCGTTGCTGGGCAGCACTGGCAAGAGATGTTTACTGCAATGCTGTGTAGCAACCAGCGTGCTTAGGCTCGGCTAGGCACAGCATGGAGAAACACCACTTTCCTTACTGTTGTGTAACCTCGTTCCACTGTTGCGTAACTTTGTGCAGCTACTGCTCTCTGTATTCGCATCACGATTCACCTGCCCTGAAGATGGAGGTGATACATTCCTCTGAAACATCAGTTAAAACCAAGAACACACGGCGCCAGATCCCAGAAGATGACTTTCTTCATAGTCATCGCCGTGAAAACCTCAAAACTTACATTGTGGTAACTCGTTCCACATCTCATTTCCCTACAACGGTTCAACATGTCACAATATTGTAGCATGTAGACTCGTTTCTCGGTAATACTCACAAACAGTCAGGTTCGCACAGTAAGAAACAACACGCAATGGGAGAGGAGCTGTTGGATATGGTGTTTTCTATGGTCCGCACTACGGTTTTTGCTGTGCAGCAGCACGATAAAGACATCTCTGCAGCAACAGTTTAACTACAACAGCAGAAGAGCTGTTTTCTGCGTGGTCTGTGCTGAGGGGTTATAAGCAAGACAGAGTTTAAGGCTTAATTAGTTGGAAAGCCAGCGTGTGAAGATAAGGCTAGGAGGTTCATGTGAAATGGCTGTCAGTCTGAGAGTTAATTAAAGGACTGAGAGAATTATAAGGGAGTCTGTGATGAGAAGACTTAGTGCAGTTATTTCAGTTGTGGGGTATGTGCCAGATGTAAGGACATAAGCAGACAGTGTTAAAATCCATTACCAGGAAAGAACTCATGAAAACTGAGAAGGCTTTATGTGGTGTAATTACAGTGATATTTTTTAATGTATAATTCAGGGAGATCGTTATAGTTGCTTTCAGTTCTGATCCATAAATGGTCAATAAATTCAGTTACAAATCCAAATGCTGTCTATAGTCACTAATTAAGTGAGCTCTGTTGAAGAGACTGCACACAAGTCCGTGCTCTGTATAATTCAGGGAGACTGTTATAGTTACTTTCAGTTTTGAACCATAAATAGCTGATAAATTCAGTTACCAATCCAAACGTTGTCTATAGTCACTATTTAAGTAAGCTCTATATTGAAAAGACTGCACACATATCCATGCTCGGTATAAAATTATGTGTCCTTGAATACATCACTAAACTTTGTTATAAAGACTAACACCTCATTGAAACATGAATTAGTGTATGCAGGAACTGATTACCTCTTGTGAGATATAATGCCATCTTTGCTTAGGCCAGTGTTAGACGTAGCCAGCTGCTAACTTCAGTATATTTCTTTGCTGCTGCTCATACCACTTGTCACAGAGTAGTTCACCATTCACCCATGAACAGTCAGTATGTTGATTGACTTGTACATGTTTACCACATCTAATTATTATTTATTCCAGATGGTGAAACTCTTAGAATTATTGGAAATGCCCTCTGCACACGCTTCAATAGCTCTCGACCTAAACCTCATGATCTTTATTGGTTTGTTGGACAGTTGTGTATTGCACAGTATCATGCAGATAAAAAGTGGTATCGTGGAAAAGTAGTTGGGGTTAGTATTAAATTGCATATTTTATAAGTGTATAATTAAGTAAGTGTGGTAGGAATGAAATAGATTTCAGTTTTTGGATCAGTGAGGTCAAGGTGAACAGGGTTTGTAGCATGCGTAGAGGAGATGAGAAATGCATGTAAGTTTTAGTCAAAAAATCTCTATGAAAGAGAATGCTTCAAAGACCTAGGCATGGAGGAGAAGATAATATGAAATAAATCTAAATGAATAGGGTATGAAGATTTGCATTGGATTCATGCAGGTTCATGCCCAATGAAACAGTGAGTATCTTGATCACCGAAGTGATCATCAGCTTCTCAAATAGGACTCTGCAGAGTTAGGGAACTAGAAGCAAGCTGTATTTGATGATATATGGAGAAGAGATGTTCGGAGCTCATTCAAATATGTTCAACAATTTTAAACTGCTCATTTTGTATGGGGACTTTACTTTAGTCTCTGAGACAACCCAGATTATACCAGTTCTCATTTCTAAACATGTTTCTTTACTAGAGATCTTTTTTGCATATGTGTTTGTGCAGGTGAACGATGATCGAACAGTTAAAGTTGCATTTGTTGACTATGGTAATATTGAAGACTGCAAAGCATCAGAAATGCGTAAGAACGTGTATATGGATGATATCCCAATTCAGTGTTACAAATGCCAATTAGATGGAATTAAACCAGTAAGTATACAAATATATTGACTGATGTATTATTATGTAATTAAGTCTCTTGTAATGTGACTTTGAAACTTGACAGTAAACAATTTATATAACACATGTTTCTGTGTATAAGATGCACTGTTTTTCTTCTTAAAATGGCCCTTAAAATTGTAGTGAGTATTATGCATCATTGCAGTTTAGAGAAATGATTGTACTTCCTCCTTATCATACACAACAGGGAAATACTGTATGCCTCTAAAACAGCAGTGGACAATGAAGTCTTAATATTTATTTTTTATTCGTTCAGTATAGACCTATAATTTTCACTTCTTACCAGTGTGAATTAATGAATAGTTCCATATGAATTTAATACTTGTTTACTAGAAGGAAAGAGTTGATCATAATCAGGATCATGGATGTTGGTATGTCCTTTATAATTCATTCTCCTGAGCATGCCTGTTAAATATGCAATGTATACTTTCACAATTTTGTTTCTTCTGGCTTATGGTGCCATGAAATAGTTGGTTGAATTAAGTTCTGATTTGTCAGATGTTTCATAGTTTGTTTTTATGCTGCAATGAAATATTTGTAAAATAACATCATTTACAGGCTTCAGATGATGGTAAATGGCCCATGTCAACATTGGACTTCATCCATACAACCATTGTAGAAAAACAGTGTGAAGTCACTGTGAAGGAAGAACCCAAAATAGGCCAGCCTCTTATGGTAAATGAATTATTAATACAACAAGTAGTGTAATGTCTTCCCTTCCTATACCTTATTCATTATAGGTTTCACAGGTTAACCTGCATGACTGGTAATGTTGTATATAAAAGCCTTTCATATTTTTTTTTTTCCTTCTCTGGGTGCCTGGTCACTGGCTGACCATAACGACTACCATGTTTCCTCAGTTCTAAATTGAACCTTTTTTTACATTTCTGAAATCAGGGTGCATCATGAATTTGATGCCATCTAAGAGTCATTGACAAAAAATCATTGTATGAGTAAAGCACAAGGAAAATCTTCATGTTCCCAACACAAGCCATGGGACAATAAACAAAAAGATAGCCATGAAGAAGATTCCAAAACTGTTTTTCTGTATTTCCATTGTTATAAATGTAGTTATGTGTGACTGTGTATAAAGCTCGAGATTTCTTGGAGGCTGAAAACACCAGTTAGTTTTAATGTTATTGGTTGAGGCACTATGCTATGAGTCAAAAGGTTACAGATTCAGTTCCTGATGAGGTCATTAGATTTTTCAATTTACCTAATCCTTCCAGCCACACTATGGCCCTGGGGTCGACTCAGCCGCTAACAGAAATGAATACCAGGAATCTTCGTGGAGGTAAAGGGCGGTCAGCGCATAAGGCTGACAACCTCACTGCCATCTGTGAGTCGATTGTCTAGAAAATGTGGGAGCCTCAACGTGTCACAACCCTGTGGGCTTCCACAGTCTGTTACAGGGATAACTTTTCCTTTTTTTACCTTCTATGTTTACTGATAATCTGTAATGAAGAGCGGTTGTTCATTATTCATTGTTACATGTATGCTTATTATTGCATCTTAAATATGAAGGATGGATCTTGCAGCTTATAGCAACTTTTTCCTGAAAAGCTATCACTAGGGCATGGCTGTCTTGCAGTCGGTGCCATCATAGGATCAAGGAAGTTCAGTAATGAATAAATTATATAAATGAAGAATGTTTATCTTGCTTACCACTACAATGACTCTGATTCTAGAAGTGTTAAGAAGTTAAAAGCATTTACTAAAAGTGTAAGAAAATTGTAACCAGACTGTAGTCACGTACAGGGAGTCCAGAAAATCAATTTCACTGTGTCTAAGTTGCACCTGGTTGAATAATAACCATGTCATACTAACACTTCATACAAGCAGCAAAGGTTTGATGCAGTATTTACATAATGCAGTGGAATTGAAGCCAAATAGTCTGTAGGTTTCTATCTCTTTGGATGTATGTCTTTCCTGGGATGTGGGGTGATCAAATTAGATAACAGACCAGTGCATTTTCAGAATTTGTAATTTATATTTGCTTCAATATTTTGTTTTTAGAGCCTGACACTAACATTGAAGAATTTTCATTCTGTTCCAGATTTCTTTGCTTGGACCAGGTAATATAGATCTTGCAGAACTTCTTGTTCGTATGCAGTTTGCTATATATGTCAGCACACCTGTATTTGACATGGCTTCAAACTCAGAAACTGGTGTGTCAGATGATGGGTCAAGTGTCATCATTGAAGGTGAGGAGGATGCTGAAGTTATTGCTGAAAATGAGGAGACAGAAGTTACTGCTGAAGTTGAGGAAGAAACTGCTAACAGTGCTGAAGCTCAAGAAGAAGCCGAAGTTTCAAATGAAGACCCTGACGATAAGGAGGATGGAAACCGTGAAAGGAATGTTACTGATATGACATCCCTGGAAGTAATTGAACGTGTGGAGTGGAATGCTCTAATAGAAGAAGAACAGGAGGTACTGTTCATATTTTTTTTTGTCCACCTTCAGTTACATGTGAGTTAAAATTTCAGGAGCTGTAATATTATGTTTGATTCCAAGTACAGCATTCTTACAGACTTCATGTGGCTGTGTTTGCAAGTCCTTCCTTTGCCTTTTAATGGTTCTGTATTGTCACTCCCCATTTTTCCAGTGTGCTGGAAACACAAATGTAAAAAAATTTTTTTTCGAAAAACCGGATATTGTCAAGTAGTTCACGAAGGTGCTATATAATCTAATTTACAGAGCCTTAAGAATTGAAAGGAAATCCATAGTAGACTGTGGTTGAGGATACTCAGAAATACAGTGTGTAGTGCCCTGTTCTTTTGTTGCTCCAGTGCATTGAGAACAAAGAAGTCCATTCATTACATATTTTGTATTGTCAGTGGCATGCAGCGTTTCCTATGGCTGATGTTGTATTGCACACTGCAGTCATTGGCTGTTTTCATGAATGTCATTAGTATAAAATTCCAAAATAACTGTTATAAGGCATTATCACATTTTATTTCACTCTAGGGAACTGTTTCTTCTGCTTACCCTTAACAAGGTCAGTGCCAAAATAGTTTTACATCTAATCTTCAAATTACACCCCCTTCCCTTTTAAATAATAATATAGAGGAACTGTCAAAAATACAATGTTGCCACATTGTAACATTCATAAATTTACTTGGACATCTCCTGATGGGAAGATACACAATCAAATAGATCATATTTTGATAGATAGGAGACAGCACTCAAGTATACTCGATATCCAATCATTCAGGGCAGCAGATTGTGATACTGACCACTACCTGGTGGTGGCAAAGGTTAGGGAAAGACTGGCAGTGAGCAAACAAACAACACACAGAGTTCTTATGGAGGACTTCAGTCTCAAGAAATTAAATGAGGTAGAGGGTAAAGAGCTGTATCATGTTGAAATCTCAAATAGGTTTGTGGCTTTGGAAAACTTGGACACTGAGATGGGTGTTAATAAAGCCTGGGAAATTATTAGAGAGAACATCAAAATGTCTGCCAAAGAGAGTCTAGGTTATTATGAACCGAAGAAGCATAAGCCATTGTTCAGTGAAGGATGCTCAAAATTATTAGATGAAAGAAAGCAGGCCAAATTGCAATGGTTACAGGATCCAAGCGAGTTAAATGGGGATAATCTGAACAATATAAGACGTGAAACCAGCAGACATTTCAGGAACAAAAAGAGGGAATATCTGAAAGACAGAATTGATGAGCTTGCAATGAACAGTAAGAACAAGAACATCAGAGACCTGTATAGAGGAATAAATGACTTTAAGAGGGGTTACCAGCCTAGCAGTAACTTAGTGAAGGATGAGAATGGTGATCTGCTAGCAGATTCCCGCAACATTTTGAATAGGTGGAGGAACTACTTCTCTCAGTTATTGAATGTACATAGGGTCAGTGATGTTAGGCAGATAGAAATGCATACAGCTGAGCCGTTAGTACCTGGTCCTAGCCCTTTTGAGGTTGAAAGTGCTATTGCAAAATGGAAACGGTATAAATTGGCATGTAGTGATCAAATTCTAGCAGAACTTATTCAAGCAGGAGGTGAAATATTACATAGTAAGATCCAGAATCTAATTACTTCTATTTGGCATAAGGAAAAATTGCCTAATCAGTGGAAGGAGTCTATTACTGTACCAGTTCACAAGAAGGGTGATAAAACTGACTCTGGTAATTATCGAGAGATATCACTGCTATCAACTTCATACAAAATTTTATCCAATATTCTTCTCTCAAGGTTAACTCCATATATAGATGAAATTATTGGGGATCATCAGTGTGGGTTTTGACATAACAGATCAACTACAGATCAGACCTTTTGCATTTGTCAGACATTGGAGGAAAAATGGGAGTACAATGAGACGGTACATCAGCTATTTGAAGACTTCAAGAAAGCCCATGAAACTAGTTAAGTTGATTAAAATGTGTTTAAATTAAAAAAGTCTGTATAGGTAAACAGCTGACTGATAAATTTCCTATCCACAATGGTCTGAGACAAGGAGATGCTTTATTGCCACTCCTTTTCAACTTTGCTTTAGAATATGCCATTAGGAAGGTCCAGAAAAAACCAGGTGGGAATGAAATTACTACTGGGTGATAATACAGATACCATAAATAAAAACACACAAAATTTAATTGATGCAAGTAAAGAGGTTGATCTAGAAGTAAACACAGAGAAAATGAAGTATATGTTGCTGTGTCATCACCAAAATACAGGGCAAAATCATGACATATGGATAGCTATCAGATGTTTTGAAAATGTGGCATTGTTCAGATATTTGGGAATGACGATAACAAATCAAAACCTGATTCAGGAGGAAATTAAGAGGAGACTGAACTGGGGTAATGCTTGCTACCATTCAGTCCAGAACCTTTTGGCTTCTTGTCTGCTGCCCAAAAACATACATATTAGAATATACAAAACTATAATTTTGCCTGTGGTTCTGTTTGGGTGTGAAAATTTGTCTCTGACATTAAGGGAGGAACAAAGACGGAGGGTGTTTGAGAACAGAGTGTTGAGGAGGATATTTGGACCGAAGAGAGATGAAGTGACATGAGGTTGGAGAAAACTGCATAATGAGGAGCTTCATAACTTGTACTCTTTTCCAAGTATAACTAGAATGATCACGTCAAGGAGGATGCGGTGGGCAGAGCATGTAGCACGAAAGGGGGAGACGAGGAATGCGTGTAGGATACTGGTGGGGAAGCCCAAGGCGTAGGTGGGTGGACAGTATTAAAATGGATCTTAGAGAGATAGGATGGGATGGTATTGATTGGTTTGATCTGGCTTAGGATAGGGACCATTGGAGGGCTCTTGTGAACATGGTAATGAACCTTTGGGTTCCATACAATGCTGGGAAATTCTTGAGTAGCTGCAGAATTGGCAGCTCCTCCAGGAGGGCTCAGCTCCATGAGTGAGTGAGTAAGTAAGTAAGTAAGTAAGTAAGTAATAGAGGAACTGGATGCCATCACATATTTTTCTGATCATGATCATGATTTTTCCTACAGAGTGTTTGTGTGTCATATGATTTTCGCAGACTATTTCCCTAAGCAGCATTATTCTCTTTGACGTAATAGATATGTGTTTTCGATGTCATAGAAAAATGAATTTTTAAATTATATTTAGATGAACTTCAGGCTTCAAAGGGTTAACTGTAAAACACACTTTATGTTGATTTTGTTTCAATAGCTTCAGAAGATGGCTACAGGAAATGTTCTACATTATACACAGTTGGAGTTACCATACAATGATACTATTGCTGTAGAGGTGACAGCTATTTTGTCAGCTACTGAAGTTATTATACATCCCTGCAAAGTGAAGGGATCTAAGGTAATGCACATTTCTCCATTTTTACAGACTGTAAATTAGAATGTAAAATAGTAAACCTTTGCTGATGCACTTTGGTTTCCAATTAAGGTGCTCACTGTTAAAGCAAAAGAAAATCCTGAAGTAAGTTTGCTCTTCACTTTATATGGACTCATTAAAGTATTTTCACTTGTATTCCTTCAAGACGCAAGTTTCTCTAACACACCATGCATCAGATATGGTAATTTGTACAATTGCTGCATTGTTCATAATGTAGATCCACAGGCATGCAGAGGTACTCTTTGTAACATCTATTAAACAGTTCTCTAAGATACTCACTCCTTGTGAATTGAGTGGTGTAGCATTCTGTCCTTTCATTTCTGGCTATTCATATCATATCTATAGGCCTCTTACAGAGGATATGATGTTCAGAAATACATAATGTGGAAAAGAATATACTAAAGGACACAGAATTGCAGGGAGTATAAACACTTTCTCATATTCAGAGACCATTAAATGTACTTATCATCATCTTCATCTTTATACATTATACTGTGTTGCTTCTTTCTGCTACAAATGTAATTAACCAGATTCCATTTTAAATTTGCTTTAAGTGTAATTATAAGAGTGTTAAAATTGGCTTCTCTGTTTCATCCATGATTGTCCCAGATTCCTCTGTACGAAGGGGGACCCAAAAATAACCGGAATCGACCTGTTGCGCGCGCATGCTTTGTAGTTACGAGTTGTGCTGCTAGGTGGTGTTAGCTGGGGGTCTCCTGCGACTGTTAGTGAGCTGGCATCAGTCTGAGTTAAGTGGTCTGTCTGTGGTGCTCTGTTATGTGCGTTCCTGTTTCAACCCTTGGCGATTAGTGAGATGGCCGACCAGAAGGAACAAAGAGTGTGCGTGAAATTCTGGATCGTTCTGCACTTCATTCTTCAAGTCGCGGCAAACATTCATGCGGTTTTCTCTTTGGTCATCTCCGAGCAAGCGAGGAACAAATTTTGCAGACACCCGTCTCATGTGCAAACCTTCGGTTAAAATTCGCTGGACCGTGCTCCATGAGATGTTCGTTTCCTCAGAAAGTTGGTCAATGGTCTTTCGACGATCTTCAGCAAGCAAAATTTCACGCACACTCTTTGTTCCTTCTGGTCGGCCATCTCACTAATCGCCAAAGGGTTGAAACAGGAACGCACACAACAGAGCACCACAGACAGATCACTTAACTCAGACTGACGCCAGCTCACTAACAGTCGCGGGAGACCCCCAGCTAACACCACCTAGCAGCACAACTCGTAACTACAAAGCATGCACGCGCAACAGGTCGGTTCCGGTTATTTTTGGGTCCCCCCTCATGTGTGCGTGCAGGCAGGCATGGGCACGTGCATGCTGTGTTTGAAAAAAATTCAAGATGATGGATAATATTCAAAATAATAGCCACATTTATTGTAAGACACCATCATTAGAAACCAATAAACTTACCTTATTTGATATTCCCTTATTGTATTTGTATCAGTTGTTTTCAGTTTAATTCATGTAACTACACTGCATTTATGATTAAGTAGCCATTATCCAGCTATGTGCCAGAAAAAACACATCTACTACTCTGCATACTCCTTTGTTAAAATTCAGAAGTCTTTACCTCTTCTATTTTGTCCCATTCTTTTTTCGCATTGCCCTTAAAAGACAGTAAAAGTGAGACACGTGAAAACATCTGAAGAAATCATTTTTGGTGTTTATTTTAATTTTTGTGTGTTATAGCTGTTTGGAATGAAGGAGAAGTTTGAACGCTTGACAGAAGATTTGCAGAAAGAGGCACAGTCGCAGCCATTGATCACGAAGCCCTATATAGGTATGTGTTGAGCTGATGGGAAGTGAACAGTGTGATAAGTGTGCTGTTACACTAATGTAAGGTAGGATAGATTGAATTTTTTAAATGCTTCTATCATTCAGTCTTTTATGGCCCCAACACCTCTGAAGCCTTAGAGATGAAAATATATTAGCCCTTTAAAACCCAGTGATTACTGTATGTACCTCCTGCTTGAACATACTGAAACTCTGCATTCTACCCAGAGAGTGTATTTCTGTGTTGCATATGGTTCACACAATAAACAGTTATTTCTTTTCCCCAACCAGAATTAACTGGATGATCTTTGTAGCAGAGATGTATTCCTGTGAGTTATGAACTGGATTTTTATATATTTAAAAGAAATGGGGTGCTTAAAGAGTTAGAATAAATTTTTATCCATTTATTTATGTGGACGTGAAAGGACTCGCACCCTAAGGAAAGACCATGAACTGAGGATGTGTAAGAACAAAGTGCTGAGGGGACTATTTTGCCATAAGACAGAGGAAGTAACAGAATGGTGAAAATAGAATATAATGAGCTTCACAATTTATATGTTTTATGTAATTATTATTAGGGTGATATATTATGCATGGGGAAACAGAGAAATTACCAGACATTTGATTGTAAAATCTGGCAAGAAGAGACTGCTTGTGAGACTTAAGTATAGATGGGGGGGGGGATATTAAAATTTATCCAAAGAAATAGCCTTGGGGTGTGAAATGGCAGGAAGAATACATGGGGGAGAGGGTCTTTGAACAAGGTGATGTGTGTGAGATTTTCACAATAGTCTGATGTTGTGTTATGAGCCAGGATAGCTCAGTTGGTATAGCAACTGGCTCCTCCATCTTTAGCCATGGAGATGGAGACCACTGGTTCCTCTGAAGCTCAGTTGATACTTGAGTATAATTTTTATTGCCAGGTGACTGTGTCTGAATATACAAGTACCAATATAATTTTCTGTCTTTCTGCTTCCTGTCCAAAAAGAACTAAATACAAAAAATTCAGTGTTATACTTTTATCTGTTTTATGTGAATGTGAAACTGGATTGTCACTATGGGGGATGAAGATATGGAGGGTGTTTGAGTACAAAGTTCTGAGGGGAAAATCAAGGAAGCTGAGATGGCTGGGACAAGTGGCATGCGTGCAAGAGATGAGAAATACTTGTCATAATTTCCAAGGTCATATTGCAGACCTAGTCATGGATTGGGAGATAAAATTAAAGTTGATCTTAAGTTCTCAAGAAAGTAAGGTGTGCACTTAACGTAACTCCCTCAGTGTAAGGTCTAGGAGCAAGCTATTTTGAACATACAAATGAAGTGCAGATTCTCCAAAAGCTGACAGATTTTGATGAGCTTAGCAGCTATAAATTCATCAAGAAAGAACTTGATTTATCTAGTTAATCTCTGCTGGTTGTCTATATATATAAATGCAACATTTTCTCTGTTCCCCTGATTTTGTCCAAGCTTGACAGTTGCATGTAATGAGTTAGAACAGTTGAGCATTTTTGAATACGCATTTTTCTACATTGATCGTATGAATGTAGTCACATGTATGTGCCATGAGAACTGAATTTCTCCTTGTCAAACTAAATTTGAATTTTGTATAAAAGAGTTATTTGCCATATATTATATGAGGTACATCATGCAAGGGAGAGTCAGTAAGTAGGTCACAAATGGAAGTAAAACAGCTATAATGGACATAATAGGTTTTTATTGTGTATCACTATGTAGCAGCACACTCCAGCATCATGACAGTCTTGGTAGTAGGCACACATGCACATATTCAGAGGGCGGTTTCAGTAGTCAAATCTGCTACTATGCTTGATGAATGTACTACCAAAGAGCAGAATTCTGTTTTGCTTTTCTTTTTTACAAAAGAATTCTTTCCAAAGGATATTCTTAATGAAATGTTTCCTGTTTATGGTGGGAACTGTTTGTCACGTGAAGCCATTCCCAACTGGGTTGAGGAATTCTCTCAAGGATGAAGAGGTTGGATGGAGACAACAGTCAGAAAGGTTTCTATGCTGTGGGTTTTGACGCACTGGTAAAGTGATGGGACAAATATATCTATGTTGAGAAATAAATGTTTTTTCCAGGTTTAAATATCACATTTTTCTACATCTTATGTCCATTTGTGACCTACCTACTGACTCCCTCATATATGGAGCAAATAAAAAAATTTAAAATAGTTGTTCATTTGAAAATTCTGTTATTTCCTTTGAAGACAGTGAACCCGCTGGGCCACTGACATGTGTACTAGGCCTGTCATTACCCAGTCTGTCATTTAGAGGCTAGTTTTGTAGTGCCTGTAATTCTTATTTATATTGTAGCATGTCCACTGAATGCCAGAATAGTTTTGTGGGGGTCTTATGTTGTTTTGTCATTACTCCGATGACAACCCACTTCTTTGGAACAGTTTATTGGCCCTGAAAAGGACCGTGGTTGCTGAGATATTTGATCGGAGAGGTAGCACGGCGCGCGCCGGTAAGGAGAGAGGCTAGTTGAGGTGAGTGGCCTGGCTGCAGTGCAGCTGTGGCTGGAGGTTGCTTGGTTGCCGTGCAGCAGCGTGAGTTGGAGGTTGCTTGATCGCAGCGCGGCGGCTGCTGGTGAAAGGCTAGTCGTTGAGCGCGGTCGTAGGAGTCATGAGGCAGTGGCTACGCCAGATGCCCAGTGGGTCGGACAGTAACACGACCACCGGCGAGTCCAGGCACGGTGCCCCAGTGAGTCAGGTGTGAGAGAGCCGGAGGGCCGAGGCAGTCGTGCCTGGCGCAGCCTGCCAATGCCTCCGAAGACCGAGCGCTGGCGACGAAACCTGCTGGCTGGTGTTGCTTGGTGTGGCAAGCTCGTAGGCTGTTGATGAACTGAATGACTCGGCGTTGGAGCCACCCCTTTTTATACACTGCTCAGTGGGGCGGAGCGAAACTCGAAATTGAGGAAGAATTGATTGGCTAGCGCGCATAATGGTGTAGATACGGGCTAGCAGCGAGCGTAGTATAAATGCGAACGTTTGAAGCAATCTGATTGGTTAGCGCGCGTGATGGTGAAAAGTGATGTGAAGGGCGAGCGTTGCAGAAATGCGTGATAATGTGGGATGTTCCCACATCACTCCCCCCCTTGCGAGAAGTGATGCTGCTGCTGCTTGCGAAGGGTCTGCGGTGTCTATGTTGAGCCGTGATGATCTAACGTAGGAGTCGTTACTGATGTTCACCACACGCGCTTCCAATCACGTCGGGGTCACCAATGTGGAATTGTCGTCAATACCCCAATAGACAAACCACACGAAACTGTACGATTGTATATATTGAATCGTTTAAAGTCAATATACAGAACACAGAATACACGTATAATATTCAAGCGTTGGCTGGCCTGTCTGGGCGATGATGCAGTGCCGAGCGTGCCGGTAGGATCGACTGGCTCGGCCGGTTGCTGGGTTGCGGGAGATGCGTTCGCTGAAGGCTCGCGGCAGCTGTGTCAGTTGCCCGGTAGCAGAAGTGGAGTTGATGCCTCTGACTGCGTTGCCGTTTCGAGTTGAACTGATTGCACCTTGGGCTCCCGGTCTTAAATACTACCGGCCGGGAGGTGGAGCTAAAGTTGCAGTTGTCACGGCGCGCATCCATTGGGCCGTGCACGGAAAGGCGGGGCCACGGTGAAGTTTATAAATATATGTAGCTGGTATATAAGTCACAGTAGTTGGAAAGGGTATAAATTCCGTGTCTCTTTGGTCACAGCTGCCTGTTTGGCACTTTCTGAAAGGGGTGACGGTTGTCTGCCAGACGCTGTGGGGATGCTCCCACAGTTTAATCAGAAGAGATGCCCGTTGCTAGGCAGTGGCTCAGTAAACATCACATGATGGTAGCCACGCTTATGTGCACAACAATAGAAGAACTGTTAGAAGCAGTGTTCTCTTTGTCGTTCACTGCAGTGGTCATGTCACATTGTAACAAAGCGACTGCAAGGAGAGGTGTTTATGTGGTGTCCATGCAGAGGCTGTATAACTCAGACCTGGCAAGCTAGTCAGTGGTCATGAGTCCCGTTAGACTCGGAGCCAAGGATCAGAGCCAGCAACAGTTTACCAGTCAGTCAGTCAGTCAGTCAGTCAGTCATAGTTCACCCATGTGGAGGCATGATCAAGTACCTCCACCGTAGCCCTGCAAGTCATAGGAGGGGGCAAAAAGGGAACCCAGTACCTGGGAATAACTGGGCCACCCTATCCTGGGGGGCTATAAATAGGGCGACCTCGCCCTCCACATTGGGGGAGTCTCGAATTAGAGAGTGTAAAATATTGTAATGAGTCCAGGAGGACTTGGACCTGAGAATGACTGCACTGGCAAGGGCCAGTAGCAATTGTAAACAACAGACCCATCCTCTCGTTAGAGAGGGCACCCCACATCAAGAAACTCAAAATTGTCTGACAGTGACAAAATCTGGTCTTGCGCCCCAGATGGGTATTACGTGATCTTTTTTGGACATCAACACAATAAATTTTCAAACCAATTTCAATATCACTGCACTAACTTTGGTTTTATTTATTTTATTTATTATACAAGGTGGTTCAAATATGACCGGGACTGATTTTTTGTAAACAAGCTGCACTTCGCAGCAGCTGTGGGACCTTGCGAGAGTGAAGCCACAACCTCCACCCTCTCTCCTGTTAGGGTTAGAACCTGTTCTCCTGTCTGGAAGTTGCTAGAGTGATGAGAGAACAGAAGCTACCGCGGAGCGTGGAACAACGCATTGTGATCAAATTCCTCGGAGAAAACGTCCAGTCCACTGAAATTCACCACAGACTCCAACAACAGTATGGGGAAGAGTGTCTCTCACGGACCCGTGTGTTTGAGTGGTGTAAGTGCTTCAGAGAGGGCAGAGAGCGCGTGGAGAATGAACTGCATGATCGTCAGCCACGAACATCCGTCACCAAGCCGAACATTGATCATGCAGACATGCTTATTCGTGAGAATAGGCGCATCACTATCAAGGAACTTGGAGTAAGATCCGATCCAAGCGGAAGACAGGTGGAAAGCGGGTAGCCTTCCTTCAAGACAATGCACGCCCCCATACAGCCAGAACAATGGAAACCGTTCGGAAATTGAAATGGAACCTTCTGACACATCCGCCGTACAGTCCCGATTTGGCCCCAAGTGATTTCTACCTGTTCGGAAGACTCAAATCAGACTTGCAAGGCATGTGGTTTGTGGATGACGCTGTCATCCAGA